TGGGGGCCCCCCCCCCCCACCCGGTTACACCCCACCGCCGCTGTGCTGTATGTGTATAGGCCGATGTAGTTGGATCTGTATGTGCGTTATCATTAATCAACATTAAAAAAAACTTTTCGATTAACCGAACACCAAAATTTGAATCATTACCAGTCCTAATATATATATACCGCAGCGCTGTACAGAGAACACTGAGCCAATCACATCAGTCTCTGTACAGAGGAGCTTACACTCTAATGTCCCCTCCCCCACAGTCACATCAGTCTCTGTACAGAGGAGCTTACACTCTAATGTCCCCTCCTCCCCCACACAGTCACATCAGTCTCTGTACAGAGGAGCTTACACTCTAATGTCCCCTCCTCCCCCACACAGTCACATCAGTCTCTGTACAGAGGAGCTTACACTCTAATGTCCTAATGTAATGTCTACTGGACGCAGGGCTTGGGGTTACTTCACACCATAAGCAGTGCATTCCGGTCCGATTCAGGCTAGAGTGTTCGAGTTTCGCTTGAAGAAAAGGTGGCAACCCTACGCTGCCCGCATTGTGACCGACTCACTTTTTTGCCGGGCTGGAGGGGGCGTGACTGGCCATTGAAGTGAATGGCACCGTGGCCACGCCCTCCGGCCGCAATGCGATCGCCCGCACGGGTTCGCAAGCCACATCGTGCCTGCAGCGCGTTTGGGTGCGGTGCGATCAAAATAGTGCTTGCAGCATTTTTTATCAGCTGCCATGAAACCCGGACCCAGCATTCAAAACCCGGACTGTCCGGGTGAATCCCGGACACGTGGCAACCCTGTATCCTAGTTAAGTGACCGCCTGGAGCATGTGGATCGATGTCCCCGGTACTGTACTAACAGTTGCTGATGTGTGCGGTTTCACTGGCTCCCCATCTGGGCGCTTCCTCCCTTCCTCCCCCTTTTTTCTCTTCCTTCTTGTCCCCTTTGTGGGTGTCTTGTTTTTTCCCCCCTCCTTTCCTGTTCAGGTTTTTGTACATGACAGTGAAATTACTCTCACGGGTGACATTGACCTACACGTGGACAACGGACAATACTACCACCATGCGGCCGGGGCCTATTGTCTGTATTTTATTTGTCTGGCGCTTTGGTGATTTATTTTGGCTCGTTGAAGCTCCTCCTTGTAACGATTCGGCCATTTTAACATTTCCAACATGTGATCCTGACCTGCACCTAGGGTGGCCGCCTGTCCGGGATTCACCCGGACAGTCCGGGTTTTGGATGATGTGTCCGGGTTTCATGGCAGCAGAAACCCGGACACATGATGTCAGGCGGACGGGGGCAACCAAAATTAAAGTGACATTAAACCCTCAGATTTTGTAACATAAAACAATACTGTAATGTGCGCCTGACTGTAATCCATGGTTGTTTCCCTTCTCTTTGCTGCTCTTCCTTTTAAATCCGTATCTGTTCTCATGCTCTACAGAACTTCTGTTTTGCAGCAGACTGCCTTGTCTCAGGAACGGATACACGGTGTCTGTGTATAGGTTTGTATAGGCTTGCAACCTGAGACAGCACTACAGGAAGAGGCCCTGAGCTGAAAAGGGAAGTTCTCCCCCAGCATGAGAAGACATGAGGATTTAAAAGGAAGAGCAGCAAAGAGAAGGGAAACTACCATGGATTACGGTAAGGCGCACATTACAGTATTGTTTTATGTTAAAAAATCTAACGGTTTAATGTCACTTTAAGATAGAAG